TTCAATCTGCAGCACTACGTTGTTACCATTTGTATTTTCATTGATTAATAGTTGATTTTAAGTTAAAAGGTATGTCATCTTCTTGTCTATATGTTTAAGTTTTAAATAAACATCATCAATTAATTTTGATTCAAATTGTCTATTTTAAGTTATTTTATCAAAAGCTTATGTTTAAGATGTATTAAAATAAGCAACAAATTTTAATTTGTTATAAGTGTGTTGTTGCTCATCTTAGGATTTTAAGCTGAGAGAAAACTCCAGAGATCATTTCACTCTTTTCCTGAGCTTCTGCAAGTTTTTGCCTTAAAACTACTGTGGAAAAAGAAGATGTCTATTTAATTTTGAAAATTCTCCAGGGAAGTAGATCAGATCAGAGTTTCGGTTTTCAATGTATACACTTTCAGTTGAGCTGTAATTAAAATATATGTCTTTGCAATGACATGTGAATTAGTCACTTTCTTGCTCCTGAAGTCTTATGTAAATATAGTAGGATATATTATAACTTTTATTCACTGTGATATGGGGTCAAGTTAATTGTGAAATAGCACATTTTATACTAATGTACATCAGATTTCCTAAATCTCTGTATGTCTTGGTGCAGTTTCATTTCTGTGAGCATGTATGAGATTTTGACCTTGCTGTCTTTTGTACTTTATTGAGCATCTGTTTATTGGGACAACATGCAAAATGTTAAGAGACAGAGAATCTTAGTGATGGAGAATATCTAGGAGCCTGTTTAGGTCTAATTCCCACTATATACAGACACTTTCATTTGCCTTCTTCTTCTTCTTTGTAAAAATTCAAATCTGACCTATCACTTCCTTGCTTGAAATTCTGTAATGCTCCCCCTCTGTCTGTAGAACCAAGTGCCTGCCCCTTAGGTTAGCATGAAACACCCCACAGTGTGCCTCTGTCCCACCTTCCTATTCTTTACTGGTGTTCTCCTTTACCGGCATCGCCAGAGGACAGAATCTACCCCAAGGGAAAGAGTATAGATTTGGAACCATGAACACTTAGGTTAAGATCCTGCCCTCAATCATCACCTCTGGCTCTGAACTTGTACAGATTATTTAACATTTCTGAGTCTATCTTTCCTCCTCTGTAAGACAGGAAGGCAAATTCTTATCTTACAAAATTGTAGTAAGCATTAGGTAGAAAAGATATGTGTGATGCCCACCAGAGGTCTTCCTGTTTAACTAAACGTGCAGACTCACAAGAGCACCAAAGACCACAACTCTTGCCAGCAGGGCAATCTCAGGAGTTTCTCTCAGCAGGGGTCCTGCAGCAATCAAACAAGTGACAGCTCATATACCTGTATAGGACTCTAGACTCCCCTTAACACGTCTCTCCAGGTTTGAAGCTCATGATCCACATTAGGCAGGTGCAGGAGCTACCCTGGGAAGACGTCTCATGCCCTAGGCAGCCATTATGTTCTGTGGCAATTCTTTGGCATAGTTCCTCATGGAGGATTGCATTCAGGAAAGTCCAAAGCATGGCATCCTCATCAGATTTGTACAGCTCATTCGTATTTCCTCCCAGTCCAGATGCAATTTACCAATCAAGGATCATTTTTACCATAAGCAGTGTTGCCTAGCAATATAATTGATGCCTATCATCTACTTGGTTTCCAGGGGAACAGAGCTAGGTGGTTAAACCAAAGGTCAGATTCCCAAGAAGCAAAAGATTTGTTAACCCTTTTGTTTCAGTATGAAACAGACCCAGGCAGGGGCCTCACATATTAAAGTTATCAAAATATGCTTGTTTATTCCTTTAACAAATATCTAAGAGCTTACACTATGAGTCAGGGCCTGAGCCAGACACTAGGAATACAGAGGTGAGTTGAACAAATACGGTGCCATCTTCACCTTGTTTCCTTTGCTCAGTGATGCCCTCAGTTTTTTCCAGTGCCCTAGGGAACTCCTCCTGTTCGTCCTTCCGAAGTCAGAGCTCAGATGTTGCCTCTTCTCTGAGGTCCATGTATACTCTTCTCCCCTTGCACTTTGTATGCATTGCCCTGAGTTCATGTTTTGTAAATCCACGAATGAATCCCCTAAAGTAAAACACCAATTTTATGTGCATATGGGAATGTATGTTTATGTATGTTTGAAGGGGCTATAAAGCTTTCACCAAGTTTTCAAAGGAGTCTGAACTATCCCCTCCTCCTCTGCTGTCTCACAAGAATTTAGAACCACTATTCTGTTATGAGCATTTATTATATTATTACTTTATTTGCTTATTGGTCTATTTCTCCTGCTAGAACATGAGTACCTTGAGAAGGGTCTGTATGCATTAATATTTTTTATCAGCAGAATGCCTGATTCATAGTAAACTTTTGGAAAATGTATGTTAAAAGAATCACTTTTCATATTTTTAACAGGCTCAGCAGCTTGAATAATGCTAGTGGTGCAGCATTTCCTAATTTGAAAGGGGACGTCCTTCATTACATTAAACTTAACAAAATCATCCTTTCTTTTTCTTAGCCATGTTCTCTAGAGTTCCGAATTAAATGTCTTCCACATTGTAATTGCCCTTTCATGAGACTCATAGTTGACTGGGGAATCAAAGAAAAGGGAAAAGCATTAAAAAATGAAGCATTTGCATTTTAAGTGTTTTAATTTAAAACATACAAATGTGCATTAATTTACTGGTATTTTATTTTGGAACCAGTGTCTCCTCATTAACTGTAACACCCGTGGTGTGCAGCTTTTTTCCCAGAAGCCATCCATGGGTCATCTTCTGCAGTTTCCGGTTCGGTTTCTCGAAAGTGAAATGAAAAGCGTCACGTTGTTGAAGAAAGTGATGTCAGAATTCTACTAGATTTTTACTTTTCCTCTTTCTCCCCAGTGTTCTGTAGTTTTACCTCCCACATTCCACCAGTGATTTTTCATTTTTCTCTTCTTACAACTGGCTTTTATTTAGTTTGACATTTTTAGTTTTCAGGGGAATAGCAACAACATATATTTCTTTGGATCACATATTATTTAGTTGAACTACGTAACAAACAGCATGTATATGTGGCATGCTGTTTGGTCTGCGATCAAAGACCACTGGCTCCTAGTAAGAACACGTCCCAATGGATGGGAGCAGAAGTGTGAGAGTGTTCAGGGTGCTTTGAGCATTCACATGCTTGTAGACTGTAGAAGGAACTTGAGCATGTTTCTTTTTTCAGTTTTTCTCAGGATATATTATTTTGTATAGCTAATATAAAGGACTACTTAATTATAAGGATGCTCTAAGTATAAAAAATAATGGCAGAGTGGAGCTTAATTTCTGTCTTCTTGACTGTGATCTGGACTTTGAGACTCATGTCCAAGGAATAGCGTATGCAAAGGGATAAATAGCATTGTTTGTAGAGAAGCCCTGCAAATACCATCTTAACCAAGTGACCAAGAAGATGAACAGCACCGGTGGTAAGTCAGGCTGATATGGTGTAACCTCTGATAGGGTGTGACAAGAAGGGCACTCTTCCTCAGTGGCACACTTCCCCCAATCCCGTAACCTCAGTCTAATTTTGAGAACATGTCAGGTAAACTCAGGCTGAGAGGTATTCTACAAAATACCTGACAAGTACTCTTCAAAAATCTCAAGGTCTTGAAAAATAAGGGAAGACTGAGAAATTGTAACAGACCAGAGGAAGCTAGGGACACATAAGGACTAAGTGCAGTGTGCTATCCTGAATTGGATCCTGGAACAGAACAGGAGGACATTAGTGCGAAACCTAGGGAAATCCAGATAAAGTCTGCAGTTTTGACAAATCTTCCATGGTTATGTAAGATGCTAACATTACGGAGAGCTGGCTGAAATGTATATGAGAACTATATGTAGTATTTTTGTAACTTTTCTGAAGTCTAAAATTATTCCAAAGCAAAAAAAATTTTTTTAAATAAATAGTGGAAGAGCCCTGGTCTGCAAGTTCAGCTCTGGTCAGAGCACATATGGTAGCAACTGATTGATGTTTCTCTCTCTCTCTTTCTCTCAAATCAATAAACATATCCTGGGATGAGGATTAAAAAAATAGTAGTAGGAGAAATCATAAAAGAAAGGGTTAGGCAATTTGAAATTTAGGATAGCTGAACCAATTTAAAAGGTAGTAACACTGAACAAAATATTTGTCTCAGATGATAAACAAAGGATAATATTCTCAATATAGAATATACTTTTATAAATTAATAAGAATATACTAATACTTCATTGGAAAATTATCACTGATCACAATTCACAGGTGAAAAATTGTGATCAATAAATTTAAAAGCCAGTTCAATCACACCAGTAATTAAAGAGTTGTCACTTAGAGCAATATTGGAAACATTTTCACCCATTACGTGACAAAATAATAGTATTCAATTTTGAAGAAGGTAAGTGGAACAATTATAGATTGGTGTATAGCCTTTCTGGAAAGCCGTTTGCCAATACAGGTATTGGGTTTAAAAATGTGCATAGCATTTTTACTTGTACTCTCATACAAGATCATTTTCCCAAGTAAATAATCAGCTATCTATGCAAATTTTCTAAGAATTTAGAAAATTTTGTACAAGGCTCTTGATCATGAAAAATTCAAAACTTAAAAATGTAACAATGAGGGAATGATCTAAAAAGTTTTGTCATTCCTATGAAATAGAATGGAGTCATTAAGATTCATGACATAACTAAGTCAAACAATGAAAGCAGCATACAATTTGTGTATAGCCTCTGATCTCAGACTTGTGTGCGTGTGTGTGCGCAACTATTTCTCTTGAAAGGATAGCAAGGAAATATACCACTGTGTACAAAGTAGTTACTTGTTCTTGGGTGGTAAGGAAAGGGTGATTTTTGTTTGTTTTAAACCTCTCTGTATTTTCAAAATTATCTACAGTGTGTGTATATACTTTTGTAATCTAGAGGGAGAAATAAACACCGCAAGCAATGTGGTTAATGTTTTCTTTTTAATGTTTCATGCTGATTTAATTAAGACAATGTCACATTTCTATTTTGTTCTGTTAAAGTTTTTCTCTTTCCACTAGGAAGCTCCTCAGGGTGCTCCCCTTGCCGACGGAGAACTGGGGAGCTCTGATCGGAGAGTGGTGCTGTCATCCGGACCCCTTTGCTGATAAGCCGCTGTATCCTCGAGAGAATGACTGTTTTATTGGAGACTCTTTCTTCCTGGTGAATTTAAGAAATGATCTGTGGCAGCCAAGACCTCAGCTGGCTCCAGTGGCGATGCAGAGTCTTTCTTCTGAGAACCACTTTAAATTGGTAAAATATCTTTTCAGAACAGATGCTAATTTAGAGGTTGGCTTAGAAAATGGTTTCTTCAATCTTTTTCCTTTCCTTTTTTTTTTCCCTTGAAGGATTGACATTTAGTAGGAGAAATCATACCAAAAAAAAATGATACAATAAGGCATAAGAACTGTCATAAGAATGTTCTACCAGAATGCAGTCTTATCTCAATTTAAGGCATGTTACACAGACTCTTTTATAAAGACCAAAATCCATTATTTTCAATTGCTTCTATTCTCTAGCTCTACTCTATTTTTTTAATTGCCTTTAGAGAGAAAGAGGAAAAGAGAGAGAAATATTGACCTGTTGTTCCACGCATTTCTGCATTCATTGGTTGCTTCTTATATGTGTCCTGCCTGGGAGTCAAACCCACCACCTTGGCATATCGGGATGAGGCTTTGACCAACTGAGCTATGTGGCCAAAGCTCTGGCTCTGCTCTACTGATACAGGAAGAACATGTGTCCTTCGAGCAAAACAGCCCACAGGGGCTGAAGAAAGAAAAGGAATGTTACCATTTTACAAACCAAATTGCCCTACTTTCTTGTTTTTAGTACAATATTCCATAATACATGTACATCTTATCCTTATAGTCTGATTTAAATTGATATTGTTCACTTGCTCCAGAACAGCTGCTACGTCGTAGTTAGGCCCGTAGTCTAGACTTTTGCTCATGTCATAAAAGCAGATGCTGTCAAGGAAGAGGACGAAGTGGAGTAGCCCAGGTGTGGAGGTGAAACTTGTGCTGCAGGCTCCACGTTGGTGGTTGAGGACGTGAGGTCAGGAGGCTCTTACTGTCAGAGTTGCTTTAGGGAGAAGACAGTTTCCTCTTACTGCAGAGAGCAAGCAGTTTACTGTACTTTAAGAGAAAATCAATGTCATTGATTTGGCCCTTGTGAGAAATCGTTCTCCTGATGGCAAGTCAATGCAGATGTGATTTAAAAAGTAAAGAAAATCATTGCCAGAGAATTTTCGATGTTAACATCTGATCATTGGTAGGGACAAGAGCATTGCATGTTCAATTTTATTTGGAGCCCATTTAATTTTTGTAACGAGAACTGAGCCACTTCAGGAAATGTCCAGGAGTTGAGCAGCTCTTAGGCGGAAAGTTAATTTATAAAACTCTTTTCTATTTTGAGGGAGATTAAAGTTTATCAGATAATGAAATTGTTATCTAATTATTTATATGCCTTATCTCTCACCATAAACACAAATCCCTTTACCTAAATATGGTTCACTTTAAATTATAGTATGTAGGCCTTCTATAATTTTAAAAGAAAATGGTAAGAAGTTAATAAAAATTTGTTAAAGTTATATTAAATGTGATATTAAAATTATATTTTATAATAAACTTATATACTAATACTATATTGTTTTGTGTATTTTAATTTTCAGTATTATGATTAAGGTATAAATTTAAAAAATATTTGGTGGCATGAGGAATAGGAAAGATGAAGAGAAACCATGAATTTTAGATAAATTCTTGGTTTTATATTGAAATATATTCTTCACATTTATGTCTTTTATCAGTTATAGGATGCCACTCACAAGAATTTCTCTTAATTGCAAACAACTGTCCTTTTCGTTAAAGGAAGACTCTCATACTCAGACACTGTGGTTTTTAGTATCAAGGAAGCTGGGAAATTACCGTCATGACCAGCTGCTATCGACAAGATTGTTTTCAAGTTAGCCTAGATGGAAGTTTCACTTTAATTGCATATGGCAGCAGTTGAAAGAGTGTGCCTGTGACCAAAATAGTAACTCAGGTTTGGAGGGACTGCTTAAACAATGCTCTCAGGGCTCCTGTGGGAACAAGGCTGCCCGTGCTGTGGAAAGCCTATTTCTCAGATCACCCAGTCTAGCCATCTAGTGGGGTTTGGAAATGTCACACGGTGACACAGCGGCCTAATGGTATCTCTTGGGAAACATTTTTTTTGGTGAGACAATATCAGGGGTCCTTAGAAAATGAAACAACACAAAGGAAAATCAAAACGAGAATGGGAGGTTACTCCACCTCTGAGCTGTGGGACCATCTCTCAGATGTATTGATTTAATTAGTCACAACAATGGCTTCGATGTTTGCTCTGTGGAGTCCCCACACTGTTAGGCCATTTCATTGCAAAACTTGCTTTATGCTTTCCTTTAAGCATAGGTCAAGAAAAACATATCACAAAGCAGAGTTTCTCTTTAAACAAAATTAAAAGTGTTACAGTATTTTAATTTAAAAGGTCCGATCATAAAAATAGAACAAACACACATAAGGTCCATCACATTTCTTCCCTTCAATACCCCCATAGAGTGTACAGTATATTGTACTGTTATTATTTGTGCTTCTGTTAAGGATATTATTTGTGCTTCTGTTAATGTGGCTGTGATATATATCTTTTGTTTTCAAAAGATATCTGCTGAAGATTTTCCTGTTTTTGCATTTGTTTATTACCTCCTGTGCTATTGTTTGTGTCTACCAACATAAAAACCTTGTATTTTCTAACAGGGTGTAAGGATGGCACTTCAACCTTTTATAAGTTTCATAAAATTATTCTTGAAAATATAGCCACATTTATGACTTCATACTATTTTTTAAAGAACAAATGAAATTGAACTTCAATTGTATTATAGCTGGCAAGTATGACAACCAGCTTTAACTTTTTTTTTTTCTTGCCTGGGGTACTTGGCAATAATTTATTGATTTTGGTCATTTGTTTCATAAATCCATAACAGTGTCTTTTTTATTTTCTTAGAATAATGTGTCAGACTTTGTAAATACTCACAGATGTAAACCGAATAGAATTATAAACTTCAGTATACCAGTTATTTTTGTTCATAAAGTATGCTTTATCTGTTCTGTTCCTTTTATTATTTTTTTCTGGCACTTTAGAGCAAATCCCAAACATTATTACTTGATGATACAATACAGGCTGTATACAATTTTCCCAATTGTATTAAAAGTATACATGACTGTCAGTTTATTTGAATCAAAATCCACACATTTGATTGTTTGAGGTAATTTGCTTTTTACTGACCATATTTTAAAATCCGGATTACCAATGTCTTAAAAAGGTAGAGTCTTATTTTAAAAGCATACCAATAACATTCACTTTTCCTGCTTCATTGAAAGACAAAGCAAAATATATAGTAGAAGTAAATGAAATACGTTACAGAGTACCAGTTGAAAACTTCTGCTTCAAATAGAAAACTCCCTTCGAAGCATTGCTTCTCCAGTACACAGTATTAGTTTTCAGTAAAGCCCTTAGTTTTTGTAAGTTTACTGAGGATGGTCTGACTTAACTTATACAAAATAGAATAAAAAGTGTCTTTAATACCAATTTGAAGCCTTACAGATAGATTTTACTGTAAGAGAGCATGCAACTACCAAAATGTCCAACTTTACAGTTGAGCATACCAGGTTTTTGATCTACCTTCTTCCTGTAACCTTGCCTGAACCTGAACAAATTGGCGCCTGCCTTGTTTTCTAGATTTGTGCCATCTGACTTTCTTTTGACCTCTAACTAAACTAAGAAATACATTTTTTACATCAAAATTTTGTAATACACACAGACACACAAACACACCTTAAATAAAAGGTTCTTGAAGTAGTACTTACTATATGTTTGAAGCACTGTAATATTTTCTATTGTATTTTATAAAACTCAGGCTGTCACCCATTGAATTAATTCCATGAATTGGTTTGGGAAATACTTGGCATAGTGCATAGAAGCATAAGCTTTAGCATCTAAGGAACCAGGATTCAAATGCCATCAGTATCAGTTACTAACAGCACATCTATAGAACAATTTAAATGGGCCTTGTATACAGTTTTGGGGAAATATGAGTGTACTCCCTTACACTAATCTGTTAAGTCTTATTTCTTAGGTTAATTACACATGTTATCCCACTTCAGACAGTCGCTGTTCCCTCACTTAGACCAACACTGTGTTCTGGGGGTTCCTGAGAGAGATGGCCTCCTGCCCAGAGTTGCAGATCTGCCCTCTCCCTGCCCACTGTCACATGACCTCTGCCCTGCTGCAGTGGATCGGGTGAGAGAAGCACTGCATGGCTTTAACACAGGGATTACTATGGATGTCGGAAGAGCATTCTTTTGTATTTTCTTTTAGATTCTTAATTAATGGACAGTGACTGTCCAGTAAAAAGCAAAACATTGGTCCCTTTGTGGGAAGGCATGGATTTTTTGTCCATTTCTAGAATGATGTGGGGTAAAAGTGTATTATATTTATGTAACATCCACCTTAATAGTTACCATGCACACAGGACAGTTCTTATACAATCCCTTTCTAACTCCTACTGAACAACTCTGTGAGTTGAACACTACTACTAACTCGATTTCACAGATGAGGAATCCAGTATAAAATAGTTAACTTGCCCAAGGTTATAAATTTAGTAAATAACAGAGCTGGGATTTGAATTTAGGCAGTCTGGCCCCAAATTTGGGCTTAGAACCACTTTTCTATTGCTTATAACATAATCTCTACAATGAGCTACAAATTAGGGAGATTTTTTATTGAGGTATATTTATATAGCATTATAAATATAGCATATAGCATTATACTACTTTCAGGTGTACTATATGATTTGATATTTGTACATATTACAAAAGGATCACCACAATAAGTCTAGTTAATATCTATCACTATATAGTCATAATATTTTTCTCGTGATGAGTACTTTTAAAAGTCACTCTCATAGCAACTTTCAGGTATGCATCACAGTATTAACTGGAGTTGCCATGCTCTGCATATGCCCAGGACTTACCTATGTTATAACCGGGAGTTTGTACCTTTTGACCCCCTTCACCCATTTTTGCCTACCCCCTAAATTCTACCTCTGGTAACCACCATCTGTTCTCTGTCTCAAAGAGCATTTTTATTGGCTTAATAATTATGTGACTGCTAGCTATTTTAATCTGTATCCCAAATGATGAATATGGATTTTTGAAGCTTAAGACTGTTTCAGGAACTTGTCTCAGAGCGCTGTCCATCTTCCCTGTTACAATGCATATCTTAAATGAAAAAAATAAAATTATATGAAGAGGTTAGATATTTTTAACTTCTGATGGGTGCTTATAAATTATAGATTACTTTTACATAAATTACACCGGGCTGGGAGTCAAAATAATGAGTTCAAGTTCGGGTTCTTCTGTTTTTAGACACGTGGGTCGGAATAAGTGACCTATCTCTCTGCCTTAGTTGCCCACCATCTGCCAATTCTAAATGGTTAAGATGTTTGGAGGGTTTTTTTTTTTTTAACAATGTAAGGTGCTTCTTGTTCAAATAATTTGACAACATGAAGATTGTCCAGAAGTGGCTAGGTTTGGAAAAAAATCAGTCTGTTCATTATTCTGTCTTTGGACTTGAAAAAAATTGTGTCTGTGCATGTGAATTATGCATACAAGCTAAATGGATTCCTAGTATTTAGGAGAGCGCAAAATAAAATGTAAAGTTCAATGTATGCCCTAGAGACTATGTTAAAATTATATATTCCTTTAAAGAAAAGCCGAATGACATTTAAATGACATTTTTTCTGTTCTACAGAAACCAAAGGCAAATACCAAAGTAATTTGTAAGCGTTGCAAGGTAATGGTGGGAGAGACCATGTCGTCAGGTAAGAAAAAACCAAAATGATTTCCTTTTTGTTAAAATATAAAACAAATAGAAGGAGATTTTATAGGAATACATGTGAAACTTAGATGACTAATATATGTTATAGAATTGATAGTTTTTTAAATAGAAGTCAACTAGCATCATCCAATATGCTAAGAACTTTGTGTATTTTGACCTTTATAAGTACATGGTGTTGAGTTTTAAACATTAAGATGTTGGGTCATTTTTAATATTTCATATTCTCTGTAGATATAAAGCAATTATATAAACTTTTTTATATATACTTGTGTCTATCTTGAAGATTAGAGCTTTTTTCTGAATACACCTGCTCCGTCAGAAGAGTTTGTTGCCAGAGATGATGGAAAAGTTGCTTTTCTTGGCCGCCCTCTGCCCCGGGGCTGCACCGTGGGGCCAGGAGTGGGAGAGAACCTGTTAAAATAGAAGAAAACGCTTTCTGAGTTTTGTACTCTGTTCCTTGCTCTTCTTCCCAATAAAGTTAATTATAGAAAGTTTATTTTAAAATGTAACAAAGAACATCCCAATAATTAAACTGTATCACTATTTGAAGACATAGTTTAAATATATCTAGAGAGCTACAACATGCTGTGTTAGCTTTGTGGGTGATGAATAGTTGTTTTTAATATAATTAATTAGAAGATGTGATTTAAGGGAAACTATTGTACTTAAGGATATTTTTTGTTGGTCTTTTTTTCCAATTGTCAGAATCTTGTAAGTACTTACTTCCTCACAGTGAACAGAAAAGGGAGAATGAGCAGCAGTAAAGGATGCTATTCTCAATGTTATTTTTGGAGAATGAAAGCAAGCCCTTTAAGCTACAACTTAGAAAATTCAACTGAATTAATTTTTTATATTCTTTTCACTCCACCCTGAAGTTAGCCAAAAAAATCTGTTAAGGAATGAAAAAGATACACATCTGCAGAGACAAAGAGAAACAGAACGGAGACAACAGCGATGTAAACAAGAGGTGTAAGCAATTGTTCCCCCAAAGCTTTAAAGAGACACACATGGGAAAGAACTTGCCAGTGTGAGGGGGGCGGTAGCCTAGGTATCTGCAGAGGATCGTTTGAGTGAGGAGTGAGCCAGTATTCACTATAGAGCCCCAGAACTGGTGACAGTCTGGGGGCAGCAAGAACAGGGAAGTCAGTCTGAGACAAAGGACTGGAAGCAGGAGTTGAAAGTGTGTGTACGGAGCTCTGAGACTCCGGACTCTCCTCCTCCACTTGCAACTTGCTCATACTCTCCACCTAGGAGATTAGAAAATCCCTTCCCCCCACTTTTTTTTTGGAACAACGGACAAGTACCAACCAGAGAAGAGATTTGCAGGCACTGATTCTTAAGGGTCATTCAACAAAAATGAGCTTACATTCAACCCTCCTACAGTCACCAAGCCTTCTACCTACACCCAAAAGCTTCCTCTTAGCATTTTATTACCTTACACTTGAATATGGATTGCTTAGAATCAATAAATACTTGAGAGAAACTCCAACAGGAAAGAGACCAAATCAAATAACTAATTAAGTAAGCATAGTAAAGGTACCTAGAATAAACTAATTTTATGTAAAAGAGAAGAAAATCTTAAAACAAACAAGGATAATAAATGTTTTTGGAGGATGAAATAATACTACCTTCATAATTCAGAGAATGTAGAGTTAAAGATGTAGTGGCTTAAAAAAACTAATCAAAGCACCAGAAGATAAAATTAAGGAATTAACTTAGAAATCAGAACCAATCAACAGAGACTGAAAATTGGGAGAGAAAGTATTTAAAAAACATCATCATGTGAGTTTCCTGAGAACACGAATACTGTCTTACCTCATTTATCACTGTAACCTCAGCACTTGAAACAGTATCTGGCATGTGATGGGAATCTAGTAGTATATATTCAATGAATAAAATGAAGTGAGCCTTTCAGAACACCCAACAGGTAGATAATAGTAATTCTAGAGAGAATAGAGACAGTCCGATGTGGGAAATTATCAAATAATAAAAATACCAAAAACACATTATAAGGTTACTTTCCAGAGCTATGGCTTATGTTTGTCCATAGAAAAGCCCACTAAGTGTTAAGTGTAATTAATGAAGGAATGGTAGAGGGGCTACTCAAAGTCACACCATTGAGTAATTTCTGAACAGCAAAGAGAGAAAAAAAAAACTGGTAGTGGACAAAGGATTAGAAATTAGAATGGCAGCGAACATAATAGCAGTATGGAAAGCTAAAAGACAATGAAGCAACACCTTCATAATTTAAAAGGAAAAAGATTTTCAACCCAGGATTCTACACACAGACAAACCATCAATCAAGTTGAGAAATACAAATTCTGAAAAAAAAACAAGATTTTAAAATATAGATTGCAAAGGTATTTTTTCCTTAGGAATCTGGCATAGGATATTTAGCACCAAAACAAGGGATTTAACTTCAAGAGAAAAGACATGGAATTTGGGAAACACATCATTCCACGCAGGAGATCAAGATGAGGGTGTCTCGGGTGAGAGATGTACTGCAGGCCTGGAGAATAACAGTCTGGATGGAGTCCAGGGCAGAGGGCTTGCGGCAAACACACTTTCACATGTCAGGTGAAACTGATACATTTTTTTAGTTGTTTGACCACATGGAACAGATAATCTCGAGACAAATCACTTCACCGTATAGGAAGAATTAACGAACATTGTTTGGAAAACTAAATACATGAAAGAGAAAGCAGTTATGCACTGCAGGAAAACAGAAGACTGAACAAGAAGGAAACGTTGCCACAGTGTCATGGTCACAGTAATGCAAGCACTGAATATTCATGAAGCTAAAATTTTTTATGCTGTAATACAGAAGTATATTAGAAGGTTGGTATGTGTTGAGTCTGTGTGAGGTGATGTAGGCGTGCTACATTCACACCTACCCTACAAGTAAGTTAGCAGGACCCCACTTCCAAAAACGGTAGCACAAAGAAAAGGGACAGTTTCATTCTGTAGAAAACAAGTACAAGACTGTACAAGTTCCAAAAATTGTGAACAACCACTGGAAGACCCAAATGAAGCGATGATTTGAGAAGTGATTAGTTTTGAAAAACTGCTACTGCTTTTGCTTATAAAGACAAATTTGTGCCCTGATGCTTTGGGGCACTGTCATCCTCTCTGCCCCAAGTTGCACAGGAAAAACTCACAGCTTTAGTATTTACAGGCGGTAATTTTGGTTCAAGGTAGATAAAGGAAAAATTAGAAATTAAAGAAGAAAAATTTGGGAGCAATAGGGCCATAGACAGGTTGAGAAGTTTACTTCTTCACACAACTCTAGCTGCTAAAGTATACATGCACACAATAGATGCCAGGGAGTCCCATAAGAACTAAAAGCTTGGGGGGACCTGCAAATTTGCTGTGCCTTAGATTGCGTCCTTCAGTGCACACGTAACTTGAGCAGCACAAGGTGGAGGAAGCCTCACTGGCTTGAGGTAGTTGAGCAGAACTTCTTCCCAAATTTTCTGACAGTTTAACTATGCAGGTACAGTAAATAGTCTCTGGGGAACCAGGCCAAACAAAATAAAAATGAGCAGAGCCATTAGGGGCTCCACACTATGGAAAAACGTATTTCACAGTTTGAGTTCAGGCCAGTTAATTGACTGCTATATCTGTAAAAGAACAACCTTTAAAAGAACAAAAGACAGTAACAAAATACAGTGTGTTACATATGATGTCTTACTTCCACCCAGAAATTTTAGGCACGCAAACAGGTAGAATAGAGTGATTCATATGCGAGGAAAAAACAGAACTCAGTGAACAGTGCTGAGTAAGCACAAATATCAGATTTAGCAGACAGAAGTATTGAGCAGCTATTATAAATATGACAAGCAATTTAAAAAGATTCTTGGGTGAACTAATGGCAAATCTCAACCAATTGGAAACTTAAAAGAAAGGACCAGTTGATAATTGTAGAGCTGAAAAGGGCGGTAACTATAAAGAATTCATTAGAATAGCTAAGTCACATATTTAAGATGACAGAAGAAAAAAAAGTCATTGAAGTAGGTTAATAGAAATTAACCAACCCAAAGAACAGGGAAAAAAAGTCTGAATCACGATGCACAGAACCTCAGAAATTTGTGAGACAATATTGTTTTTCAATCCATGTATAATTGGAGTCTTAGAAGGGGAGGAGAAAAACAAAGGTCAGGAAAAATTTTGTAGAAAAAAATGGCTGAAATCTTGGCAAATTTGTGGAAATATTAACTTTCAAATCCAATTATTGCAATAAATCTCAAATAGGATAAACAAGAAAGAATGCTTCACCCAGGCACATTGTAGCCAAACTGATAAAAGCTAAAGATGAAAAGAGAATGTTCAAAGTAGCAAGAGCAAAACAAAACATCACATACAGGGATTTCATGATACAACTGAGGCTGACATAGAAATGGTGACAGCCAGAGACACTAAAATGAGATATTCAAAATGCTGGGGGAGGAGGAACAACTGTCAGCTAACAATTCTATATACAGCAAAACTATCCTTCAAAAGGGAAGGCAAAATTAGAACATTTTCATGTAAACAGGTTGAAGTAATACATTACTAGAAAATCTTCTCTACAAAAAAAATGCCTGGGAAAGTTCTTCAGGCTAAGAAAGATACCAGATGGTAATTGGAATCCACAGGAATGAATGAAGGAAACTTGAAGAGTTTAGCACAAAATTGAAGTCACCTTTTCCTTGCATTTTGCCCATTCTCTGAAATTAGAACTTTCATTTAGATTGCTTTGGGAAGTAAGGACAGAATTCACAGACTACACTGGATGAGAACCTAGTAAGTGACTACACAAAAATGTAAGACCATACAGGACCAAACCTTTATGGTGAAGGTGAATAAAAAGTGGGCCAGCCCTGTAGGAATCACAGACAAGTAGCAATCTTTTGGGGCTTTAGGGAATTTCAGGTCTTGGCTATTCTGTCTCGTACTAGACATAACACCATGTACCTGGCAAAATCAAATGCACATCACTTCTGGAGGAAAGGATCTTCATGTAAAACTCATTATTCCCACAAAGAATTTTTCAAGTGCAGTGTTCACCATATAAGCAAACAAGTCGACTAGACTTCCATCAGTAAAAACTAACAGAAGCAGGAAACAATAGAGAGACTTCTGTTACTGGAATTATCAGATACAAACTATAAAACAACCATTCTTACTGTATTTAACAGTATAAGTAGCAGGTTTGAATATATTGAAAGGAAAAGGAAACTATAACATTTGGAAAAGATTGACAGTAGAATCTTTAAGATATATCATTGAAATGTAAAATTCAGTGGGTAGTTTAACAGCAGACTAGGTACAATTTGGAGAAGGCATTAATGAACAGAAGATGGATGAGCAAAATTAGCTGTAATCCAGCGAGAGAGAAAAGAAGGCAAAAAAATATGTAAGAGAGGGTAAGAAACATAAAACATACACTGAGAAGATCTAACATATGTTTAACCAGACTTTTATAGGAGAAGTGAATGGAGCATAGGCAATATATGAAGAAATAATTGCAGAGAATTTTAGAAAAGTGATGGAAAACCACAATCTGCAGATTTAAGAGGTCCAATGATTTCTTTTTTTTTTTTAAGATTTTATTTACTTATCTTTAGAGGGGAAGGGAAGGGAAGGAGAGAGGGAGAGAAATACCAATGTATGGTTGCCTCTCATGGGTCCCCTGCTGGGAACTGGCCTGCAGCCCAGGCATGTGCCCTGACTGGGAATCGAACCACAGTTGTGTGGTCCACAGGCCCGCACTCAATCCACTGAGCTACACCAGCCATGTCGATGATTTCTAATTAAATGAAACCCAAAGAAGGAAAATCATATCAAATCTTCTGCAGCTAGACACAAAGTCATACTGCAGAAAAATAAAAAGCAAAAAGAAAATCTTAAAAGCAGCCAAAGAAAAATGACCGATCACCTTGAAAGGATCAACACTGAAGGAAGGTGGAGGAATGACGGTGTCAGTGTGCACGAAGGCCCAACACTGTTAACCCAGGTAAAAAAGTCCATATGTGGAAGAATCAGAACAAAGAAATATATTTTCTGACAGACGAAAACAGATAATTCGTCTCTATGGTTTCTTAGTGAAAAAATTCTGCCTGTGTATCAATATCAGAAGAAAATGGACCCAGATAGAAGGTCTAAGTTCAAACACGACTGGTAAAGAAATTGGTAAAGAAAACATGTGGGCGACACTTAATTAATAGTAACTGTAGAAAACAGCAATAATAATACCTTGTGGGATTAAAATTATAGAATTAAATTATTTTAACAATAAGCTAGAATAAAACAAGCTAGGGATTACTTTATAATGTGAAAAGTTTCAATTCTGCATCCAATAATATGATTTCAAAATAGTAAACTGAAAAATTGAACTTCAAAGAGAGATAGATAAATCCATCATCATGACTCTAAATATACAATAATCTGTTAAACTATTTTCTTTTTGCCTTTTACTCTGCTATGTTGGGCAGTTGCAAACATTTTTGGAAAATCTACTAGGAACAACTTCCACCTTATTAAAACAAAAATTATTGAGTACACTATTTTTAATGACTGCATCAGATTCTCATCCATAAATGTATAGTTGCTCATTTAACCCAACCATCCTCAATTTTTAGATATTTAATTTGTTTTCAGTATTTTCTACTAATACTGTTATAAACATCTTTATAGATAAGTTTTTGTGGATATCTATGAGTGTTTCTTTGAGGTAAATTCTTATGGTATCAAAATACATACACATTTGTACGCCTTTGCCAGATGGCTCTCCAGAAATCTGTCGTTTTTCAGTTCCGACAGCAGTATGTGAGTGTGTGTCCATTTCTCTGTGTTCATCAGTGCTGCACCTTGTTGTTGAAGTTGTTTTATTTATTTGATGCTAAAAAAATCTTATTTTAATTTGTATTTTCTTCATTACCAGTGAGAGTAAACATTTTTCATGGATTTTTTTTTAATTCAAAGTGGTTGTTTTATTTTTATTACTATTAGATATTTATTTTACTGTTTAAATTTTTCTGTAACTAAGTAATCAGAGAACCAAATTTAGTGGGAATCGGACAGTTACTGACTTAGTGAAATTCGGGGGTAAACACTAATGTGAGGTTCACCACGTCTGTGCATAGGCTTTGTGGTACCATGATTAAAAAGTCCTTTTCAGTGACTTCAAGATTTATGGCTATTCTGTAGAAATGAGGCAGCCGAATGAATACTTTCTAGATAATAGGCTGTGGCTGTGATGTGACTAATTTTTATAACCTTCCCTGTGTGTGAGTAGAGTCTTGCTGCATCAGATTCTCTTAGGGCATGCTCTTCCGAAGTGACAGCAAGCTCTCTGGAGTCTCAGGGCTGTTCCCTGTAGTCATCAATGCTTCGTCTTTTTAAACCAAGTCATTTTCTTAAAAAATCTTATACTGAGTGTTAATTTTACCATATTGACTGTTTAGTTTGACTGTCATAGTTTGGGACCAACATGCCCTCAACAAAAATGTTAGTGTATTGCAGAGATTTTAAAATTTCTATTTTTTCTTTCTAGAAACAATTAAGTTTTATATGACAGAGATTATTATTCAGCCATCTGAGAGAAATTTTCCCATCATACCAAGGTACAATAAAAAATTATATTCTGTAATTTCAATGTATGAAAAGATAGGTACAATTAATTATTTGGGAGTTGATTTTTATTTATACCTTCCTTTATTTGGAAAGGTTAATTAGACCAAACCACACGTGTAAAATATTTGAGGATTTATTTATGGTTTGCTTACATAATGTCATAGACAAATATGCTCATATAAATCTAATTTGCAAAAATTTTTGTGCTTCTTTCTATGTGCCCAATATTCGAGGTCTTATGATCTGATCATGAAAAGGTTTTTGAATAATTATTTCTGGTTGTAATTTAATTAAAAATTTGAAACATGGGTAAGTGTTAAAATAACTCCTGTGTTTTTAAAAGAAATGATACTTAGGCACTAAATCCATTAGTGTGTCCTTTGTTTGAATCTGTTTAGTTTGCAAACAAAAGTTAACTATAGTATGTCTTTTAGTTCATTATTGATGTGTCAAATTATGGCATTCTGAATACAACTTTGACCTTTATTCTCCTATAAGTATTTTGATTCTGTAGCTAAGATCTGATACTTTGAGGGGAGGCAAATGGAAATATTAAAGATAATACTATCTAATATTTGGGAAGACACATCTTACCTTTTAAAACTTAAAACAGTGAAAACTTACTGGTTCGCTGTTTAATGTGTCTCGGCATAGAAGAAATATTGATTTTTCTAACATACAATTTTTTATTCAGATAGGTTAGGGTGGAAAATGTATTAAGGATTGGAAAACAGGATACAAGAAGACTAGAGCAAACACAAATGACTAAAATACATTAAAATCCACATGAGCGCAGATTGCAAAGGAATGGGCAGCACATAGAAGAGTCTGGCATGCACTGGCCTCTGCCTTTTAGGTGCCCTGTGGGTATTTTTGGCTCATCTTGCCAGTTAGAGTTATTATGAGGGGCACATTGTGAAAATTGATTTCTATTCAAACAGGTCTCAGTTTGTGCAGAGCATTATCGCCCAGTGTCTGACGGAACTCTCCTCTGCCAGAAGCACTTTTAGATTCATTATTCAAGGTCATGACGGCAAAACGTACATCTTGGTAAGAAATTATTTCACCTAGCTTTTTGTCACCCTAGTGATCCAGGGTCTCATACATTTTTTAGGTTTTGTCATTCTTTTTTTTTTTTTTTAAGATTTTATTTATTTATTTTTAGGGAGAGGAGAAAGGAGGGAGAAAGAGAGCAAGAGAAACATCAACATGTGGTTGCTTCTCGCAGGTCCCCAACTGGGGACCTGGCCTGAAATCCAGGCATCAAACCAGCGACCCTTTGGTTTGCAGGCAGGCAGCCACACCAGCCTGGGCTGTCATTCTTTTTTTACTTAATTCTCAGGTCTAGAAAACAATTGATCAAAAAATGAATTTTTAATGTCAGTTTAATTCGAGAATCAAACTCCCTTAATTTAATAACAAATGATCCAGTGCCTCGATGTGCTAGGTGCTAGGGAGAGAGACAGAAATAAAACCTGCTCTGTAGAAGCTCATGCCACAGAAGAAAGTCTTTCACTCAGTCCATCTCTCACTTTTTTCTATTTGATGCACTATGTATTTTCTGTTTGTTCTGTGGTGAGAACACTTCACAAAGAACCCACTGGCTTCACAGATTTTGAAGTGCACAGCACAGTATTGTTCATTATAGGCATGGTACTGGGCAGCAGATCTCCAGAACTTACTCACTTTGCCCAACTGAAACTTTATACTCTCTGATAGCATCTCATTTTTCCCTCTCCCAACCCCTCGTAACAACCATCCTACTCTCTCCTTCTGTTAGTTAGACTATTTGAGATTCCTTGTATAAATGGCATCATGCAGTAGTTGTCCTTCTGCATCTGGCTTGTTTCACGTAGCATAATGGCCTCCAGGTTCATCCATTTGGTTGCATATTAAAAGATTTCCTTCTTTTTTAAGACTGGATAATATTCCCTTACTGACATGTGCCCCATTCTCTTTATCTGTTCCCCGATGGACATTCAGATTGTTCCTACACCGTGGCTTTTGTAAGTAGCACTGCAGTGAGCATGGGAGTGCAGCTGTCTCTTCGAGATCCTCATTTCCACACTGATGTTTTAAGAAGTAGTGCCAAGTTTTGGAGAAGAGGCTCTGGCAGTTGCCAGAATCATCTCCTACATGTATCACAAGCATCTAATATTATACTGCTTCTGTTAAAAATACTGTTCTGCAGAAAAGAATTTGGGACATTTATGTGAAAATCCAAGAATCAGGGCCCAAGTCTCTTCTCTGCCTCTTACCTGTTTTTTTCCCCCAGTAAGCATATATTGAGCACTAGGTGATTGAAAGGCACTGTTCCAGGTGCTCAAGGTAAAACAAAAATGCCTTCAAGGAACTCAAAAGGTAACATGGAAACAAGGCAGTCAAAAGGAGTGATGGGGTTGAGATTATTATTATGTGTGTCTTTGTAGCTGGTCATTCACTATGGCAGCCCCATGCTTCTGTAATTCCAGATAATTTTTGTCAAAAGCCAAACTATTTTCTGAATGAAGTTGATACTAAGTATAACTTATAGTCATAGTCTGAAATCAATTTTAATTTTTTTTACTGCCAGGTTTTCAACTTAAAAATCATGAGTGGGAACTTTGTAGACCTATTGTAATATATATTCAATTTTTTAAAATTTGTTCTTTTATAAAACTAATACATTCTGGAAACACATTCAGACAACATGAAGAACATAAAAGAAGTGCTCATTCCCCCAGTGTGTCCCCTCTTGTCCTGCTATATCGTACTGTTTGAAGGTAAACATTATTAACAGTCTGATGTATGAACCTTTTCCCTATCTGTATACAATGTGCATACCCACAGGTATTTGCCAGTTTGTAAAAAAAAAAAAAGAAAAGAAAAGAAAACCCGAATCATGTGATTAACATTTCTCTTGAACATGCTTATGTAACTCGATAGTTTATCATGAGGGTTGACAGCATTATGATTTGAGTTTTTTAAATGCTGATAAGTGTCATCTTCCAAAAGAGTTGTGCTAGCCCCTTGTAGTAGACATGCGTGTACCCCAGCCGGATCCCCTCTCCTTGGCCAGTGTTCCCCTTTCCCAGCCGCCGAGAGTGTTGGCTGCTAGTGGCTCGCAGCTGCTCTCTTCTCCAGAGACTTGCCCTAACCTAACAGATGCTTGACCAGGGGGTTTCCTGTCTTCTGCTGACCCCCACCCTGGCCTGGCATCCCACCACAAATGATCTGATCCTGAGGTACAAAAAACTGGGGTTGCCTGTCTTTCAAAATGGAGCAATATGTAGGTTTGAGTTCCCTCTGGGACTGGGCCGATCCAGACTCCAGCTGAGTTCGTACCCTTGCCTCACTTCTTGGTCTGCCTTATCCTGCTTACCTTAGTCCCTTTCTCCTGAGAGTAGTCCCCGCTGAATCACATGCATCCAAGGCTCCAGACACTCTTCAGCCAGCAGTGGAAGAGAATACCCATCCAAGGTCCTCTTCTGAACTGGGGGCTATCAATCTTTTTGTATTTGCCAATCTGGTGAGTGAAAAAGGGTGGACACACATTTTGCATTTTCTTATTACTAGCTATAACAGCATTTTTATATGTTTATCACTTCTTTTCATTATTTGTCTGTGTTTCTATTGGGCTGTTTTTCTAGGGGTGCTATACATTATAGATACTAACTTTGTTACAGATGTATTAAATACTTTCCAGTTGATTGCCTTTTTTTAAACACTTTATCATGTCGACTGATCTACTGAGGTTATACTTGGATTTACCTTCCTTAAAAATTATATACATGATTTTCTTATATATTTTTCTGATATTTTCATAGTTGTATATTTGTTTTTGCAGGTTTTTTGAGTGATGATATCCTTACACTTGACCTTTTCTCTCCATATCTTTAGCTTTGGCTTTTAAACTCAGACAGTTTGGTGGTTGAATCTTCGGGAAATTCCAAAAGTGTCAAAAAGTTTCCCTTGCTGGAAGAGGTGTGGAAGGCAGACTTCGGCTCTGCTTGGAATGCTGTCAAGGTCCTCTACCAGCCATGCATCAAAAACAGGAATGAAATGTAAGTTGTGCTTTTGTTTTCTCATTACATGTTGTGTTGTAGTTTCTTTTACCATGTTGGTGTTCTGAAATTAATGAATGAAATGGCACTGTACCCCTTACCTACTTAAAGCCTCCTGGAGTCGTGCTCCTAAGTGTTATGCTTTCAAAGTAGGTTGAATTATTACAGATGATTCATGCTAATGTGCAGAAAGCTTGTTCTGACTGAAAACAATTGGTCTTTTTCTTGTCATCTCAGCTGTCTGTACATATGGCTACAGTACTAAATCAGACTCAACAACTATGAATATTTACTGATAAGCACTTCTAGGCTTTCGGAGTACAATAGTAAACAAAACATAGTTTCTGCCTCCTGAGGTTGTCATTCGAACAGGGGGGAAGACAGATTATAAACAAGAGATGAAAAAAATCAAAGACTGATGTGACTGTTACTGTGAGCACAGCACCAACCAACTAAGGGTTTCTAGCTCATTTAAACCTGACAGCACTTCTGTGGGGTAGGTACTGTTATCGCCCCCACTTAGATACTTAGATGTAAGGACACTGAGGCACGGAAGTTAATATAACACTGAGTGGGATAGAAAGCTGGGTGAGGAAGTTGGGGAGAGGTGTTATGGGGGTAGGAGTATTGTCATTTTATCTTGAAAAGTCAAAGATGGTTCCTCAGATTAAGATGATACTTAGAATACTTGAAGGAAGTTAGGGAATGAGCCATATCTGAGGGAAGAACATTCCAGCAGGGGAAATAGAAAGTGTTCTTAATTAAACAGATTGGAAGTTTATACTCGTCCAGTACTCTTAAAATGGGTTTGATCAAATTTGTACTAGGAACAGAAAGTCCCACACTTTTTCTGGGAAATAAATAAGAAGTTTTTTGAAATTATTGCTTGTCTTGTCTTTTCTGAATTATGCAAGCAGTATAATTCATAAAATATTCAAACAATAGAGACAAACATGAAGTAAAATATAGAAGTTCTCTGTTATTTCTCTTTCCAGAAGTAAAAAGCAAGCTTCCTATTCTTCTACTCCTGTTGTATTATCTTGTATTTTACCATAATTTGAGTGATACATGTGGTTTTTTGCACTTAAAAAATTGTGTCTTGGAGATTTATCCATGCTGGTGCCTGGCATTCTATGAAATGGATGTACTGTAAATAATTTAATCATTTTTCTGTTAATAGATACTTGGGTTGTTACTTTTTAAACTGCACTGCGTATGTTGTGCATTTGCTGTGTGATTAGTGTACTGTTCTTACAATAAAGATTTCTAGAAGTAGAATTGCTGAGTCTAAGGGTTTGACATTACAAATTTTGATAGATATCAAATTGATTTGCAAAAAGACATTACAAATTTATATTCCCACCTGAAGCTTCTATAAGTGCCCATTTCCCTGAACCCTCACCCCAAGTGCCGTTTACATTTTTGCCCATCTTATGCCAGTCTAAATGAAATAGGCTCACTGGAATGTCCTCGTTTTCACTGAGAACATGGCTTATGTGTGTTTGATGCTTTGCGGACTTTGCTGAGCCGGTGTGTCTGTACGTGTATGTTCTAATACATAGTAAACTTGTAAGCTGTTCATTGGTTATACTCTCTTTTGACTAGTGTGGGTATATATGTACGTCTGTATGTCAAGTTTATTAAAACCTTTTATATTCATCTTTTTTATTAAAATGTGAATTTTTCAGAAGGGTGTGTTAAATCTCACTATAATTGTGGAAAAATCATTTTCTTCTGGTTTTGATATCAGTTTTTGCATTATATATGGAGTGGGAAAAGTGGGCCTACAGTTACCCATGTGGGGAGTGATATAATAATAAATAATAATATAAGAATAAACTCTATTTTGTGTACTCACATCTGTAAACCTACTTTTGTCCACCCCTGTATTCTGAAGCTCTGTTATTAGATATATTAAGATTTGTTACATGACAACTTGACTAATTGCATATTTTAAAAATAAGAGATATTTGACATTTTCCTTTAATTGTAATTTGTTAATATTGCTATATTTACTTTCTTATTTTAATTGATTGTTATATCTCTTTCCACTTCTGTATTTTCAGCTGTCGTGCGCCATCTTATTATAGGTGTATGTCTTGTTACCCCATACCTTGTACAGTGCGTGTGGCTGGACATTTGGAACTCCGGTGTGAGAGTCTGACTTTTAACAGCGTGCTTAGTTAATTCATATTTATTGTGTTTATTGATATAGTTGACGTTAGTCTGCTGTCTTTTACATTGGTTGCCTTCTCTGTGTCATTTCTTTCCTCTGATGATTTGGAAATAAATATTATCTACTTCAAAGTGATTTTTAGTGGTTAACCTTGGATGTTTAACTTACATACTTGGTTATTTTTTTTTAGTATTCATACTCTTCTCCAGAACAAGAAAAGACTCTTCAGTGGGTTTCACATCTCCTGTCTCACTCCCCGCCTTGCGTACTAGCTCCCCTGTGTTGAGATGATTTGTAATCTGTTGATGGTGGATGTTTCTTCTTAAAGAAAGACCAAGGCAAAGCCCTACCACCCCTTTGCTTATATCTTACTTCCACTATGGATTATGACCACAAATTAGTTTATATTTATACTGTGTAAGTCTATCTCCATAAACATATTTATGGGTTATTCTATGTTTGAAAATATTTCCAAGTAATATTTTATTGTATGTAGCTTTTTGCAGTTTTTTTCATTCAATGAATATCCTTCATTCCATTGTTTGATTTGAAAAAGTATACTCTTTAATAGTTTATCTAAACTTGGGCTGTAGTCGGTCCTTAAATATAAGAAAACGCGTTTTACCCATTTTTTTTTGTCTCTGAAAACCTTTAGAATTTTCTCTTTAGCTTTGGTTTTCTAAGATTTTATACGGATGCATCTAAACATAAGTGTTTTTTTTTCAAATTTTTCTTTATGTCATAGTATGTTCTTTTTTTTACAGATGTAATAGTCTCTCAGTATTTATGAGAGTAATAATTTTACTTAAAGTCTTCTGTTTTCCCTACTAACTTTCTCCTGGGTGTTGATGCCTCTTTCTGAAAAGAGATGTTGGGTTTGGTGCTTCACAGTGTTGCTTTTCCCAGTGGTTGATGACTTCAATTCCTACTAGAATTCCTACACTAGTGTGTAAAGTCCGTGTGAGCCAGGCCCTTGCCTGTCTTGCTCATTACTACATCTAGGTGGGTTCTTGTAGAACTACTCAGAACATACAATTTATGTTTACAGTTAACAAAACATTTGTTTAATGAACTGTACATGTTTTTCTGCTTATCTTTGTGTTTGATAATTACTATTCATCTATTCGAGACTGTGTGTTCTTGTTACCACGGCCTGCCTTTGTGGATTTGTGCAAGAGAACACAAAGGCTGTACTCATCTGGATGTGCCAGTATGTCTTTTGACAGCTTTTGGGTTTTAAGAAAAAGCAAGTGGTAGTAGATTCAGTTATGGTGGTGAACCTTGTGTTCATTATTATGAAGAATCTTTACTCTGCCTTTCTTGGGGAGTGTTACAGGAATGAGCCTGTCCCACTGGCTCATTCATTCCTAACAGATTGCTGCGACATAGGAAATACGACTGTTATAGGTTGTGCTCCTCTGACATTGATTATTGGAATTTTTTAACTCCATATGTCTTGGGGAGAAGTTGACATCCAGGAAAGGAGTTTGATTACTTTAGTTTGCCTATTTTATATAACTACTTTTGTTGTGCTTTTCTTCCTCTACTGCATGACTCCGTGCCCCTCAAAGGTAGAAAGGGAGTTTTGCCAAGTTGTGTAAGAATCCTGTGAGTTATTTACTTTTGTTTTCTAAGGAAGTTAGTTTCTTTCTTTTGGGCCATGACTGAGCAAACCGTAGACTTCCTGGCATATTTTTGGCACATGGGATGGTGCATTAACTATTTTAGTCCGATTGGCAAGAATTTTTTCTAGTGGAAATATGGATTGCCAGATGGCAGTCTAAAAGAGGAAAATAGCAAATGTAACTATGGCTTTATTTCCTTGAGCACACACAAAAAAGTAGTGAGTAATATTTTAAGAATGTGTTTTCTTTCAAGCAATAGACACACATTTCTTAACATTTTGAGGTCTATTTTTTAATCTCACTTCCCCTCGCCCACAATTATCCTACAACTCACATTCTTTAGTTTGCATATCAGAGTTCAGATACTAAATATTAACTTTTTAGCTTTCGAGTTTAAGTTAACTTCTGCAGCTTAATTCTGCTAACTCATCAATTCACCTGTGGCCTCATTTCCTGGATCAGGGTCGGGGGGCCAAATTTTCACTGAGGGGACATTGGCAATGTCTTCAGACTTTTTCTGGTTGTCACAATTTGGGGAGGGGACTAATAACATCTAGTAGGTAAAGCCATGGAAGCTCTTAATTATTATACAATGCATTGGAGAGCCCCTACAACAAAGAATTATCCAGCCCAAAATGACAATAAGGCCAAAGTAGAGAGAACCTGATTTACATTATCTCCTAAAATCAAGCCGTGTCTATCTTATCCTTCAGGGTGTCATAGCCATTACTTTCTTTGAAATTGTATTTAGGCCAACAAATAAGATAAATCTTATTTGGAAAAATAAGAGCCAAAATCTCTATAACCTACATGTTCACTTTGCTAAAAAATATAATGTAAACATTTGTTGTTATACTTTTTTTAGGGAAATATGAAGAATAGACTTATTTTTATTAAATGATGAATTCGATAGGAATCACTGTTTTTGTTCTCATATTATTAAAAGAGTACTTAGGGGAATGTAGTCATTAAGTGTAAATAAGTGTTTTTTTAAAGCTAAATTGAATTCTTTTCATTGCATAAGTTACACGTGTTCTGGTATTTTGCAGGTTGTTCTTCCCATGTTTTTCAAAACATAGCCAATTAAAGAATCCAGAGAATTTGAACTCAGAAAAACTAATCTGTGTTCTACTATTATTAGCATTTTTTGCAAAATATATTGAGGGAGGAAATGTTGATATGTTATATTTACACCTAAT